TTTAGAGTATCTGCTTTGATCCTGTGCTGTGGGAACACAGCTGCTTCTTCTTCTTTTTTTTTTTTTAAAGCAGACGTTTTTATTGCAGTGTTTGTATCCTGAAGGCCAGGTAATTGGGGTTTCTCTTTGATTTCTGCTTGGAGCAGGTTCCGGGAGTTGAACCCAGGACCTCTTGCGTGCTGAGTATGCGCTCTATCCCCCTACAGCTTCTATCCTTGAAGCACTTACATTCTGTGGTTCAGTTTAGTCTTTTTGGTGTAGTCAATGCCTGAAAAACAATTCTCTCACGTCTGTGATTTCAATGGTCAGCACTTTTCTATAAAATACACCTTTTGGGGGTTGTCTTCATATATGAATATAACATGAGCACAGCAAAATGTGCACATGATTATGAAAGTATTTAGGAAAAATGTCTCAAGCTCTCATTCCTTCTCCTCTATAACACAGCTCTACCTCCACCCCACTGCCCAGTTAACAGCAGTTCTGTGTGTTTTCCTCATATTTTCAGTGCGTATATAAACATGCACACAATCATCCAGCCATCACTGAATTTATCAGGGAAAAATACCAACAACAAATAATTTCAGCCAAAGGATCTGGAAGTGAATTAGAAATGTTTTCATTTTAGCTATAAAACCGTAAGATTATGTAACGATTTAATCTTATTTTCAAATATTTGCATCATAAAGTCCTTATTAACAAGATGAGGGAATATATAAGATAAGCATTCTTATGGGAAATTGAAAATATTTAAAATAATAACTGTAAAAATTATGATGCCTTAAGAGAATCATAGTATGTTTGTATAAAAGAAGTCCAGACCTCATTTCATATAATATCCCTCCTAATTTTACAGATAAGAACCAGCTCAGGGCATTTAGATGACTTGCCCCAGGTGACCCAGTTAATTCATATTCCTAATTCTGTGTTATTAGCACATAGTATTGATTTGAGTGATTTCCAGTATTTTTTAAAAATCTCATTTATTTATTATAGTATTATTTAGTTATTTTATTTCGGTGGGAGGGGTAATTAGGTTTGTTTATTTTTAGAGGAAGTACTGGGGATTGAACCCAGGACCTCATGCATGCTAAGCATGTGCTCTACGATTTGAGCTATACCCTCCACTCAAGTGATTTCCAGTATTATCTCTCAGTTTTCATTAGGACCTCACACCTCTTTTGAAAAATTTCCTCTTGTACATAAAAGAAAGTTTATTGTAGAAAAAAAAGAATAATATATAGATAAGCATAAAGAAGGAAATAAAAACTACCCAATTAATACTTCATATTTCAAATTTCCTTAATTTTGTTCTCACGGCAGAACCTTAGCTTGAGATACTGGAGAAATCTTACTCCTACTGATTTACTGATTACAGTCAGGATTTCAGGATATCAGAATCAGGTTACTGAGCTAAAGTCAGAAGTACAGGAGGTCAGGATCAGAAGGACTAGTTCATTGCTTGGAACAGAGAAGGGTCAGAAAAGCAGATCACAGAATGTGACAGGCTTCCAGTATTTGGTTGTACCTTGTGGTTTTCAACCGACCCTATGTTTTCCACTAGCGTCTATGTATTCAGTCTGCTCTCCTCTTGCAGATTACAATAATAGACACATCATAGTGTCGTCATAATCCCAGCCCACTTTCTGAGGAAAACTAGCTGAGCCATGGTCCTTCTGAACAAATAGCCCTGGCAGCTTTCTTTGGTACCATGTGACCCTTGCTGACTAGTAAGGGTAGCCATCCAGTAGGCTGGCTAATAACCTTAACAAGTCTTGCCACAAAGGGGTAGCCTCCAACGAGAATGACCTGTGCCAATTAGAATCCTGCTTTTGGAAAATACAGGAAGAACTAGGTTCTAAGAGGGGAGATTGGGAAAAGGATGCATAGATACATGTCTCAAGACAAGGGGCTGCGATGAGGAAGCTGATGAGGAAGTGGATACTATGAGTAAGCAGAAAGTAGGACAGAAACACAGAGAAGCTAATGTACCACTGGAGGGAAAGGTCCACGGACTCAGCTGTGGAAATGCATTCAGCTGCCTTGTACCCAGGCTGGTTGATCCAGACTTCCAGTTTTCTCCATCCTGTTAGCTCAGTCTCTATTGCCACATGGACCCTTACATAATTATCCCTTATTTCATTTAGACTGTAACTCTGTCATTTTTTTTTAAAGGAGGTTAAACTATGTAATCACCAAGCAATCTCTCACATCTCACTGATCTTGAGTAGCATGTTCTGAATGCATAATGAAATAGCTTAGATCAGAGGTTCCCATACTTGACCGATTATTATAATTATCTAGGGAGTTAAAAAAATTAAGTTTCTGGGGACTCACTGAATCAGCATATCGTACAGAAAATCTTTCTGGTTGTGAGTCTCCACTCAGATGGTAAAAACCATGTTTCTTCTGAGAAATTAAGGCATGGAGGGGAAACCATGTTGAAGGAAAGTGAAATATTTAATAAGGTGACTCCTATTTTGAGTCTCTTGCCTTTTTCTTCTTAATCTTATTTGTTAAAACATCATTTTCAATATTTCCTAATTTATTTTCATTATTTAATGGAAGTTATTCCAATTTCTTGTTCTGCAACTACTTTCTGTTCAAATACATTTTTACCTAATAATCCATTTCAGTTTATGTTAATATGATTGGTTTTATACTTTATAAGAAAACTCCTAGAGTAAAATACATTATTTTACAAATAAGAGGGGGCAAGCGATATTTTGTATCCCTTTTTATTCTTATGTAAATTTAAAAATTATACAAACTGTCTTTCTGATTCATTTATAATTAGTCTCTGGAGATTGGAGGAAGTAGGTGTTAGATTAATACTAACTCCCGGGCAAGTCCAATATATTAACTAGAAATACAAAACTCAACTATCAACTGTTAAGAAAGGTAATATACACATTCAGAAAAAGGTTTAATATAGATCTTCATGGAAATGTTAGCTGTCTTGATTTGTGGTGGCGATTTCATAGGTGTATACATATATCAAAATTCATCAAACTGTACATCTGAAATATTTTACTGTACAGGAATTATACCACAATAAAGGTGTTAAAAAAATACAGATCTTTCAAGGCTCTTTCATAAAACTATTAAAATTGGTTTGAAACCAATATAAATGGGAGGAAAGAAATTTAAGGAAAATCTAGTTAGTGAAAATCAGAGACATTAAAATTCTAAGTCCATTTTTATTATACTTACAAAGAGTGTTGGCTTGGGTGTAAATATATTGTCTTCATGTTCTCTAGGCACATTCAAAGTCTTTGATTTCTGATTTTCGGTCACATTTTTGGATTCCATTTTAGTAAAAAGTAACTTGTCCTCAGAACGCTTATTCCGCATATTAGTGAGAATCTGTTTCATTGCTGCCAATTCCTGTTGATGTGTGAAAATAGAAGAAAATGGCAAAATATGATTTTAACAAGCAGAGTAATAATGATGGATGTCAAAACATTTTTCTTCTTAGAGATAACATTTGAAGCAATTTGAGGAAAGGTGTGAAAATAACAACATATTAACATACAATAACGATGTACCTGAATTTTATAGTCATTAATTTTTTTAGTATGATAAACGATAAATATACCATTGCAAAGGGGCAAGGGGGGAGGGATAAATTAGGAGTATGGGACGGACAGATACAAACTACTATACATAAAATAGATCAGCAGCAACGATTCACACTATAGCACAGAGAACTATATTCAATAGCTTGTAATAACTTACAATGGAAAATAATCTAAAAAATATAAAACTGAATCACTTTGTTGTACACTTGATACTAACACAATACTGTAAATCAGCTGTACTTCAATTAAAAAATATCATTTTGTGGTCCAGTGGTTCCCCAATTTTTCTGCACACTGGAATCACCTGTGGAACTTCAAAAACAACTAATGCCTATGTCCCACCCCCAGGGATTGTGAGATAATTGGGCTGGAGTGTGGCCTCGGCTTGGAAACTTTTTAAAGATCTCCAGGCGATTCTAAGAGACAAATCTGGGAACCACTGGTTTAGCTGCTTTCCCCTGTAGCTTCTCTACACATGCTTATTAAGTAGATTATTCAAGCACTTAACTTCTTCCCTCCATGTCTTAAACTATCCCATTTCCTTTTGAAGTCTTATATGAAGACAGAAGGGAAAAAGAGTCCAAAAATACTTGTTTTGCCTATTAATTAGCAGTTCAAACAGTACGTTTAATACAGCGTCAGGATTTCTTTAACCGTATTATTCCCTATTCTTTTACAAATGAAAACCAGAGTTAGCTTTATCAGTTGTCCTTTGAACTAAGAACTCATTATGCTGAACTTCTTAAAGAACGCAGATCAAAATTGTCATTCATTCCCTCCTGCAAGTTTATTTTCTTTTATTTTGCCCATAAACCTTCAGCAGCACCTCACACTAACTAGTGGATATTTATGATTACGTACTAAACTGATCCAATCAAACACAAGTATATGGAGAGAGGACAGATCAAACTCTCCTTTACCTTATTATCTGTAGAACAGTGGTAGGCTGTGCTGGAGGTAATTTTCTCCTATTATTTTATTTCATCGTCATGCCAAGACACAAAAATTACGGTGATAAAAAGATGTTCTGCGCCCTTCTACTAATCTGTTTATAGACATCAGCTCTGTGTCAGAGCAAGTTCCTACAGGCCTTTTTTTTTTTTTTCTGGCTGTCATTAGTTCTATTTAGAACTATTTAGTTAGAGTGGGTATTTTAAAACAGAGCTGTTGAGTTTAAGCCACAGAGCCTTAATAAATCTCAGGGCCAAGAGAGGAGCTGGAAGAAACGGAGCCAGAATCCTTTCTCTTCTCTGCAGGACTGGGGTTGGCTTGGCTAGCGCACATGAACGTGACTACCTTCAGACACTGCCAGCCTGACAGACCATTATTTGAGCCCTTTGAGGACGATTTTTGCTTTCAAGATCATGTTATTTCATTTACATGCTCCCCTATAGTGGAGACATCACTGATTTAATGTTAAACATGTCTGGTGTTACAGCTGATACCAGCCCCTGTTCTACTTCCCCAGGACAGAAGGGAAAGGGGAGGTGACAATCTCAGCCGATCAAAAGAGCACTTTTTATGTGAAAGAACCTCTTTTTCCTCACTGTAACTTTTGTACTTTGGCATGAAGACAAAATAAAATAATAGGAAAAAAATTACCTCCAGCACAGCCTACCCCTATTCTACAGATAAATAAATAAGGTCAAGGGGGTCATACTTTCCAGGGGAAGGGGTGAGGCAGGGGAAGGATAAGGAGGGAGAAAAGGAAGGAGTTGTGGGGGGTCCTAGGCAGAGGGCTTTGGCTCCTAGATGCCCAGGAGGAAGCCGTAATTTTGTTTCTCTTTGGCTTCCCTCTGCTGCTGGTACAGGAGCAATTATAGGAAACAGATCACCCCTGATGCTGGTCAGGAGACAGAAGGGAAATTCACAGGTTTTTGCTTTATTTAGACTAGCTGGTGTTGTCACAGTACTATTTTTGTTCATCTGATAGTATTAAACAACGTTATTAGCATGGTTTCTGAAGTCTAAGTAAAGAACTTGAAATGGAATTCTGTCAAATTCCTGTTAGGATGTTACACAGTTACAATGGATACCAAAATAACATGCAGAACAATTTTGTTCAGTTTTATTATGTTCTATCATATAGATGATCTCTTTTACATCAATGCTAAATCTGAACAAAGAAAATTCCACTTTAACATCAAATAATATCCACCATCCCACCATATACTGAGCACACAGAAAGCCACCCATGTGTAGTGGAAATAGTTTAGTATGAGGCTAGACGTCAGAGACTATTCCTGACTCTTATTAGTTGTGTAAACTTAAACTGTTACTAGTTGTGTAAACTTAACCAATCTACTCTGGTTCGATGAGCCTTCCTTTACTAATTGATAAAATCTGTATCTGCATTACCTTTTTGGATTTCTGCCAGTCTGGTAAGTGTTTGGGTATACTTATTTTGCACTTCTTCCACTGTGATGGTGAGCAGCTTTTCAGATATTTAAGGGTATTTTGTTTCCTCTTGACATCCCTGGCCTGTTCTTCTACTGGGTGATTGGTCATTTTCTTTCACATTTTGAAGAGCTCTTCATATGTTAGAGAACTTAGTCCTTTGTCTGTAATGAGAGTGGCAGGTTTTCTTTCCTGTTTATCTTTTATTTGACTTTGTTTATGCTTTTAATTTTTAATTATTGGTTATGCAGAACTTTCTGATTCTGATTGATGTAGCTGAATCTGGCGCTTCTTAATTTTATGGCCTTATGATGTTGTCTTCTTCCATTTTCCTCAAGTTACTTCTGTGGTTTCTTTTCTTTTTCAAACATTTAGATCTCTGATCTATTTGAAGTTTATCCTGGCTTAGGATGAAAAGTGTAGATTCAACATCTCCCCCTGCCCTCCCAGGCTATTCTGTAATAACATTATGTACTGAAGAGACAATTTTTTCCTCTCTAATTTGAGATGCTATCTTTACCATATACTAAATTTCCGTATGTCTGTGATTTATTTCTGGAATTTTAAACTCTATTCCAGTGGTCTATCTATTCAGGCACCCATGTTACACTGCTTTAATGTTTAATGATTGAGGGTTTTTTTTTGGGGGGGGGAGCTATGTTCTTAGGGATGGGGTGGGATGATGTTCAATTAAAAAAGAAACCAACTTCAAACTGACTTGTACCATGTTGAGTCTTCCTAACCATGAAAATATTTTAATATCTCTTTCACCTACATTTTTGGCATAAATTGTCCTGCCCTAGTTGGTGTTACTATTACATTGAAGTGGGTGTGATTCACAAACTCCCAATTCACAAACGGACAAACAAAAATAAATAAAGCAACATAATATACAAGAATTAGAAAAATCTGCCACTATAAAATGGGATCCTTTGGTAAGATAAAGTAATCTTGAAACCTGGTCTGGTCCTAACCTGGGTTAGTTTTTACCATGTTCTCTTATCTGGCTCCCGACCGTTGGCTCCATCTCCTACTTAAGATTCTGTTCTTATTATTTGGACTTGACTTTTCCATTCACTTCCCTAGCTTTTGATTCTGCTTCCCTCTGTTCTGTAAAAGTCCTTTTCCGATTGGTCAGTATGGTTATTTGTACTACTGTTTAATGATTTATGAATACTGTTCACTGCAGAGCAGAACACGATTAGATCCACAGAAAAGGAACTTCTGATCAAAGGAAAATGTTTCGAGTATCAAGTTCAACTGGATTCTTTTTCTTACATTGCATCTACTGCTCAAAATCATGCCATTTACTCAGGTTCCTATTGGATCTTGACGTTCTGATAGAGATTTTTCCCCTTCTTTTTTTGGGTTCCTCCTTTTTGATAGAAGTAACATATGCCTTTCCCATATTATCTAAGATTATCTAGCTTCTTAATCCTATTGTTTGTTGAGATCAATTTTGTAGAGTGATTTTAAGACTGATACACAGTTGTTATATCGAAATTTCTTTTTATTGCAATCTTGGCAAGTTCCACTATTTCTTGCGTCTTTCTTTTTGTCATTTGATGGTAAACAATCTGGTAATTTTATAAGAGAGGTATTGTGATAAAGTATTGTGCTTTCTTTCAGAACTTGGATGATACTACCTTTCCATATTCTGAAATCAAATTTCTGAGATCTATGATGCCAAGCTGATCCTTATTTCTTCATAGGTACTTGCTTTCTTTCTGGGATGGTCAATATTGGTTAGCTTTTCCCGGTTAATTTCTGTCTTTTTACCTTTTTCTAGATTATAGGCAAGTTCACTGACTTTTCTTCACATCCTTCTACTGGCATTTTTACTTACTTAAAATAAATGTCATGATTTTGATTTTCACAATTTTTGAAAATATCAGAAATTCTTTCTGTTTACTGCTTACTTTTTTGGTAAATACTACTTTCTCAATCTTCCTGAAGAAACTAATTACAGTACTTTGTAAGTTCTTTCCTGTTACAGAAATTTTTGTTTTCTCTGGAGAATGGAGTAAATTTCTCTGTTTGTTTATTGTGATTTTTCCTCTTTGTGCTATTAGTTTTTTCCCAGTTTCTGACAGTCTTTGGTTGTGTGTTCCAATTTATGAATGAAGGAACAGAGTAAATATTTTCTTTCTGCTGCTCGGGCCATTCATCTGAATGAGACATTGAGTACAATCTCTGGCTGTGTGGATAAGAAAATCTGTCACACAGGCTTCATTCTAGGATCCTCAGGCGCAAAGCAGGCTCTCTTGTCCAAAATGACAAAATGAGGAGAGTCCTAATCGGGAGCCCCTTCATTTTGGCAGTTCTAGTCTATTCCTGGCAAATGCTCCATTAATTTAGACGCCATTTGTCAAAATATTTTTTAAACTTCCTGCTTTTTAAAATGAAAGA